GAATGAATATCTATATGGACGCACGTTGAATATTGGAGCACGAGTTGATTGTCCGCATAACGTTTTGCCAAATAACGATGAACAGCGAACGGTGGTCGAACATAAATGCATCGAAGGCAAATTCTCCCAAAGGTCTTACCGTACAGCTGGGTTATGCGCTGCAGATCCTGCTGACCGAGGTGGTAGTGGAGGGGGTCTCCAGCAGGACCCTGGTAGTATGGTCTCATCACTGAGAGCTGAGACGAGGAGTGGGCCAGGCCCAGTGCGTGGCCAAACTCATGGACCAGCACCGTGAACAGGTCGGTGCCCTCAGAGGCTGGGAAGGAATGAAGAAGTGAAAGATGAAAACAGGAACGGAGGTCAGGCCCGTAAAGCTTGAAATGTGCAACGTCTCACTGACTTCTTCTTCCAGGTGTACCATTAGTGGGTTTTCTGTTTCCAGTGGATGACCAAATAACTCTTCTATTCACACTGGAGTCATTCTAATGGCATGATATCCAAATTCACCTTGCTGCTTGTGAAAATCAACATACATACGACCATTTGTATGTATATACTGACTTCAAAATTTGGGGGTGATTGAATGTGATGTGTGTGCTAGTAATTGTCTTTTTCCAGCTTAAAAAATACTCACAAACTCGCCAAGCTTTCTATAATTTTCAATCCTACACTGTTAATGACAGGACTGACCAAAGTTTAAAGTATTATGAACAAATCTTAGCAGGACTTTGATAATGTTAGTGAGTTTTAGGCTTTGGCACCAAGACAATTTTTGTTAGGCTGCAATTTTGTGGCCAGTACAGTAGGTGATGCTACTGGGCCACAAGATTCCCAATGGAGCCTGGTAATGACAACTGGAAGAGCATAGTTGCCTTTAATCTAGCTTCTAGGATCACATTATTAGCTTTAGCTATCAAACATGATCTCAAAATGATACAGTACTCATGTAAATAAAATATCCCTTTGCAGAGACATTGGTGTTTGCACCCAATAATCCAATTTAAAGAAAGAAATCTGAAAAAAAAATCTATGGCAGGCTTCACAGAGTTAATATATTTCTTTTCTTAATATCAAAGGACACACCGCCAGTGTTCACCTGACCCCATCAAAAGCGTTCACACTATTATTTGTTCTTCTTTTTCTCACCTGGCTGTCTGAAGGCCCACTCCTCATCTGCATCCAGATGTACTCCTCCTGCCCGGGTGGGGTCTGAAGGGAAAAAAGCGTGTCCAACTGCACCCCCGGCCCCGTCAAAGGGATACTCGTCACCGTGGTAACCGCGGAGGAAGTCTACCTGCAGGTCAGCTGCCTCCCAGCTGGCCACCTGAAAGCGGGGCACAGAACAACCATAGAGCCAAGAGAAATGCTCGTTTTACAGTCGCTGTTGAGTATCTTTTACTTATGCCTTGCATGTAGCAGACAAATGTACAAACCTCATGGAACTCCAGGGGCGTAGGCTCTGCCCACACTCGTAGAGCGTAGAAGACAAGAGAGCGAATCATCTCCCGGGATAGATGAGATGTGGAGGGATAAGAATTCAGTCTAACAAAGGCACAAAGTGTTTGTGTGGGTGAGGGGAAATGAATTGTTACGAGTTGTTATTAAGCGAAAACAGAATTTGCTTCAGTAATGGGACCCTCTGTGAACCATCCACCGTCCATACAACTCTGAGGAGCCTTGTCTGCGATGGCAGACCCACAAACTCCAGAATTTTATCCATCATTCCCACTTTTTTAGCTGGAATCTTCAGCCACCTCGACCAAGGTGACTGCCTTCTCTCCCCCAAAGTCCTTAGTCTCTGACTTCCCATTGGAAAACACTCTGATCACTTTAAACCGGAGCAGATTGCACAGAGAGAGATGGTATCTAATATCCTATTGTGTATCATAAATAATAAGCACTAATTACATTTATGGAGTGGTATGATGAGACCATGATCCAGGGACCATTATGAGCAAATTCCATCCAACCTCCAGTTAATGTTCCTGCTTGTCCACAGAGATAGATCCCTCTTCTTTCTCCTCATCTTTTTCCCATCTTGGTTGGCCAGTAATTTGGATGGTTCCTCTTTGTCGGGAAGGGAGCAGCGTGGACTTTTCATCAAGGCCAGCGTGTCCTCATCTGAACATTTGGAAGCAGAAGAAAACACAGTCACATCTGGAGGGTCTGATCGGAGAGGGAGGCTGAAAAGTTAACGGGTGACCCGGTGCCTTCACCTACAACTCCAGTCTCTCTGAGGCCCGCAAACCTTTGCATGGCCCTGATGGCATTTGTGACCGCTGTCCAAGCCTGGAGCTGACCAGTGGAGGGCTCTGGAGGCGGCAGGTAGCCGTATTTTGTCAACCAGTCCTATGAAAAAGTGACAGTCATCTGAAGATGTTTGCTTTTTTTTTCAGTTGGGCACTTTGGACATTTAGTTTAGACAATTCAAACAGAAGGAAAGAACAGCAAAGTTGACGTGTGCTCTCTGATATAGAATAGCTTCCAAAGGTCTTTCTTTTGAAAGCTCATAGCATTATGCGCTACCATTTGTTCTGCAACTTGATATCTGATGATGGGGGAGACCCAGTTTTACAAGGGGATTTGGAAGAATTTGATCAGAATTTGATTATTAGAAGTTATCTAAAAAAATAAACGTAATCCAGACACTCCACAAGCAACGCCTTTACTGTTCAAGACTGAAGTGTGTTTGAATACGTTATCTCAACAAAGTGGAAACACCGTCTCCACAAATCAAGCCTTCTGTTAATTACTTGCAAAAAAGTCCCAGAGTGTCACGCCTGGGTTTTTTTTTGTGTTTTCTTTGTATGTTTTGTGTGTTGTCATTTCCTTTTGTAACCTGTCTGATTGTCAGTTGTGTTCATCCGGGGTTCCCTTCCCTTCTTGTGTTTAAATAGTCTGTATTCACCTTCCCTGGTGGCAGTGTGTTTCTTCATGTTTGTCCTATTGACTATCGATTCTGAGCTTTACCTTGACATTGAAATTCCTAGTATTGATTCCCCACAAATTCCTCTATAGAGTGATTATTATTTTGCAATTTCATAGTTTTTCTGTCCCCGTAGGGGCAATTATTATTTGGTACTTTCATAGTTTTGTCTGTCCTCAAAAGAGTGAGTATCATTTTGTACTGTGTCCATCGTTTTGTTCTTCCTCGGATGAGAGATGACTATTTTGTACTTTTCAGAACCTTTGCTTCCACTCTGAGAGAGTGTGATTTTTGTTAACAATAAAGACCTCGTATTTGCTAAGCTCTGTGTCTAAATCCTGCCTTGAGCCTCGTCCTGACAGCACACACTGGTCCCAGACAAGGGGGACACAGACTATTTAAACTCAAAAAGGGAAGGGAACCCCAGGTGAACCCAATCGAAGACAGTCAGACATGTGACACACAGGGAAGTGCAAGTGACCTAAACAGGAAGAGAGTTACTTATCAAAATAAAACAGGAAATTGCAAGACCAAGACATGACAAAACACCAACAACACAACTGAATCAGTTCATTACCACCAATTGGGCGCTCTCATCTTCGGTGGGTGTCACAGGCTCAGTGGGTGTCACAGGCTC